GTCTTTGTCGCTGGAGGGTCTTGGGGGCCGGAGCCACAGCCCTGATTCCCCAGCTCTTCCAAAGTGGGGCTTCCCTGATTGTCCCCCTTGGCCAGTGGGTTCTCAGATGGTAAGAGCCGGCTCTGGACACACTGGCGTGGGGGCTCAGAGAGAGCAACCAGGTCTTGTTTCTGCCACTTAGTCGTCACAAATCTGGGTTTGGGATGCCAGTGGCTAGGGGAACAAGAGTTCAGAAGAAGCCTGTTTGATATAGCAGTTAGGACCCTGCCTGGGGGCTGCTGTGGTGCTGTGGGTTGTGACGGTTTGCAACTAGCATAGTCCGGGCTGCCCCGCTTCCGGTCCAGCTTCCTGCTCATGTGCCTGGCAAAGCAGCTCAAGATGACCCAAGTGCTTGGGCTCTTGCCACCCGTGTGGCAGACCTGGATGGAGATCCTGGCTCCTGGTTTCAGCCTGGCCCGGACCTGGCTGTTGCAGTATTTGGAGAGTGAACTGGTAGTTGGAAGATCTTTTTTCTATAACTGCCTTTCGCTCAGTCTCAGAAGGGTGGGAGGGGAAGCTCTTTGTGGGGACACCCTCCAGGAACCCAGGCCTCCTGGATGACACTCCCCACTCTTGGGCTGGGTTCAGAAGCAGATGGGGGCGGGTACGAATGTGAGTGAGTCAGGTCTAGGCTAGGGGTCTGGGACCCATGGGGACCAAGTATGGGAGCCCAGCCCGGCCCTCAAACATAGCCATTCCAGCTGGTGTGAGGGAGGAGCCAGAGGGTAACAGCCAGGATGTAGTGGTCTCAGAAGTGATAAGAACAACAGGCAGCCAAGGCGTCAGGAGGGACAAGGGGCGGGGGTGCGAGTTCATACACTCCCTAGAGGCTCACTTGACAAGGTGTGGAAGAAGCCAAAGCTTGAAGGACATAGCAAGCCACAAAGATGCCTGGGCTGCCAGGAGGATGTGCCAGGGCCCTGAGGGAGGTGCAGTGAGGGTGGGCAGGCTGGAGGGTGGTTTGGGGATGGGGACAGAGAACAGCTGGGGCTCATGCCACACAGCACAGCTTCCGATGCCTTTCTGGACTGAGAGAGCCAAGTCAGGAGCTCTGGAAGGGTTGGCTAGTGGCATGAGTGCCCGTTTTCCTATCAGGCAGCCGTGGCTACTGCTAACAGATCACACAGGAAACAGACGGTACCCTGGCCAAGGGCTGCTTACCACCCTGGAGGGTTTGTTCCTGGTGAGAGGGGAGTGCCAGCCAAGGGTGGCAGGAGCACTGCTGTTGACTGTGGAAGTCCTCTCATCTCAAGTTCAGCTCGCAGTCAAGGCTACACTCAGGGAAGGCAGAATGGGGGAGCTAGGAAGACAGAGGGGGTGTCCAGCCTAGAGAGTGTGTTGGTATCAGCAGTCAGAGGGCCGGCCTCCTGGAGCCAAAGGGGGATTCATTGCCCTCAAGTTCCCCCTCAGACCTCCAGGAAGTTGGACAGTTCAGGGCATTCCCCAGCCACCTCCCAACCCTGCTAGTACTTCTTCTGACCCAGTGGAAGAGAAACTGACCTTGAACTTTATTAAACAGCAGCTGCTGCCAGGCACCCCAGAGCTGATGGACAAACATGGGTGTTTGGGTTCAAATTCCAGGAAACACAGGGCTAGCCCAGCAAGAGAGACAGCCCCAGAAGAGGAAGTGGCCTGGGAAAAGCAGGTGGGTGGGAAGGGGGCACCTGCCGGGGCTTGCTGGTACTCTGGGTGAGGCTGGCCTATCCCCTGAAGAGGCTAGGGGCCCCAGACGCAGGTCTACCTGCAGAGTCACAGGTGGAGGGTGCTGGGAGTGGGACTTAGTTGGGTGGGGACCAGGCTGGGGGAAGCAAGCCGAGTAGTAATTTGGAGACCCAGGAAACTGCTACTTCCCATCCCACGGGTTAGAACTGCAGAGCTCCTGATCTCCAAGGCCCAAAGATCTGTAAGGCTCTGAGCCTGCCTGGGGGTTGCACCAGGGCTGAGCTTGGACTAGGAGCTGACAGCCTGGCTTCCAGTCCAGCCGCAGTGTGACTCCGGGCAACCCTCTCAACCTGACTGGGCCCCTGGTGCTAAATCCAGTTACGGGGCAGACAACACTAGCCCTTTTAGGGACAGTTTACCACACAGACATGAGTATGTGACTCTTGCTCCAGCCACCAGCTCCCCACCCCTGCCACCAGCTCCCCGCACCAGGACGATTTCTAAGCCACAGTAGTTGATTGTCTGTCTCTCCTGGGGAGTCAAGGCACTCCCCCCTTTTGCTCCCCGCCAACAAAGCCTCACCCCTGGGTGCTCAGGACATACCAGCTGAGGGACTGAAAAAGCTGGAGCTGAAATCTCATTTCTAGCCCCGTTCTCGCTGTGAGAGTTGGTGCACCTGTTCCTTAACCTCTCTGGGCACCCAGAGTCCTCATCTGTGTTGACAGGTGCCTGGTCATGAGAAGGAGCCAAGATGGCTGGTGTGTGGAAGCCCAGCAGCCGCACACTCAGCTGGGGCTCTCTGGCACTGGCCTTGAAAACTCCTTGCTCCCCACCCAGGCAGCCCCCTTGAGCCGGGCACCTTCTGTCTGCTTGGCCCATGGCTGTGACCCAGGTACTTTCTGATCAACAGAAAAGCAGGTGCACATGTGACTTCTGGGGCACGCAGCAGGACCCATGGGAGTCATGAGTAAAATCAGGTCAGGCGTCCCTCCCCAGGACACTATTTCCCTGTGGTCTGTGGGGGCCCTGCCCTGAAGCAGGCTATGGCATACTCGCCTGCTGCCTGCCTGGGTCCCTTCCCCTGCCAGCCCGGACTGTCTCCCACAGCTCCAGGGAAAAGTCTGACCCGTGAGCTCGCCTGGCCTCCCCATGGACTGCTAGCTACATTACCATTAGCCGTGGACGATGAGAACACAGCTGACCCAGGCAGGCCACAGTGAAGTTCGCTGTGAGTTGAAGTATGTCCCATGTCACATGTGCAAGACGCCCTGAACTGTTCTTGGTGTATACCTGATGTTCTAATTGAACTGGGCATGTGGGCTGCTGGTCTACCCCATGGGTCTCTTGCAATTTCAGCAGCCCTGGAGATAAAGGCTTTGGCCAGGGCCAGGTGGGCGTGCAGCACCCCCAGGCCTGCTGTCTTCCTCCCTCCGTCTCCTCATGCACCCAGCACAGTAGTGGTCAGAGGCTCTGAGATGCAGCACTGTGCGTGGGAAGCATGTTTTAGACATGGAAACAGAAAGCTGTTATGGAAACATGAGTTACCTGTGCTGGTGGGTGATGGCCAACACCTTCCTTGGAGGTTGTTTAACCAACTGGTCCTTTTTTTAAATTATGTATTTATTTATTTGAATGGCAGAGAGAGACTTCTAGCTGCTGGTTCACTCCCAAAATGCCTTCGGCTGCCAGGGTTAGAACAGGCTGAAGGCACGTGGGTTTCCCTCATGGGCGCAGGGGTCCAAGGACTTTGGACCAACCTTTGCTGCCTTCCCAGGCCATAAGCAGAGAGCTGGATCAGAAGTGGAGCAGCTGGGGCTTGAACTTGCACCTGTATAGCAAGCCAGTATCACAGAGTGGTGGCTTTCCTTGTTATGCCACAATGCTGGTCTGAATCATGCCTCTCTTTATGGGCATCCCTGTAACTGCTATGGACAGTCCTGATCAAACCTGTTTGAATATTTGTTTCCAATCTTTTATGGGGGGGAGGGGTGATTATTTTATCCCCTAGTTTGTCACCACCAAGCATGACATGAACCGTGGAGTTTCCATGGCTGCTCTGGTTTGGCCTATGGGAGTCCCATTCTATTTCTGGCATATTCTTTTCTTACCCTGAGAGCACGTTGTATTTTGCTTATCTGTTGAGAAGATCCCAAGTTTCTCTTTAATTCCTTGCTCAGAAGCTCTGGGATGGAAATCCAGTCTCTGTAATGTTGGCGGGGGGGGGGGGGGATGAAAAAGTTCAGTAGCTCTCCCCATGAATAATCGCAAGCTCACAGCCGTGGGAAGTGTTCAGGCTCAGCAGCTGGCAGGGAAAGACTGAGCTGTGGCAACATTATGTAAAAGACTGAGAATTTAGGTTTTCTGTTGGCTCTCTTGGAAGGGGAGAGAGAAAGCATTAGCACAAGGTCTTTTCTGGAGAGATTTCCTGCAGGTCTGGTGGCTCCCAGTAAAGTTCTGAGATGCTCTGGGCTCAGGTGGGGCTCCCCAGTGCCCTGCCCTACAGCCTGAGGCTGCAGGAAGGCAGGTGGGCATAAGCCACCTTTCCTTGCTCATAGCATGTATCTGAGGTGGCATTACGGCACAGTGAGTAAAAGCACCAGTGCCTGCAATGCCAGCACCCCATGTGAGCACCAGTTCCCGTTCCCGCTGTTTCACTTCCCATCCAGCTCCCTGCTGATGCACCTGGGAAAGCGGCAGCAGATGGCCCACGTGCTTGGGAGACCCTGAAGAGGCTCCTGGCTTTGGATCAGCTCTGGGGGTTGCTGCCATATGGGGAGTGAGCCAGCGATGGAAGATCTCCCGCACCCCCTCTGTATCTCCACCTTTCAAATCAATCAACTGATAAATCCTTACAAAAACATCACCTATCAGACCAACTTCTTATCTCTCACAGACCTTCAGAGGCACAGTCTCTCCACTGAATGTTAAGGTTACGGTGGATGGGTGAGCAGTTGTCACCTGGGACAGAGGGCACAGTTTGCTGGGGGTCCTGGGATGAGCCAGGAACCCAGACCCAATCTGAGGTCTGTGAATCTGCCCCCTGTCCACAGGGTCACGGCCACGGCTTGGTAATGCCCTCCAGCTGCCCTGGTAGAGTGGGCGAGGGTTAGGGTGCTGCTGGAGGAACGAGCCCCCCGGTCTGGGGTCCGGGCGCGGACCCACGTGCCAGAGCCGGATCCGGAAGGATGGGGTGGGCGGGGGGCTCCGCCGGCTGCGGGGTGGAGGAGTCCCGGCGCAGAGGCGCGCGCGCCGGCGGGAGGAGCCGGAAGCCCGGGCGGCTGCGCTCCGCCCCGGCCCGCTCGAGACCCGCCCCCCGCCTCGCCGCCGCCTGCTCCGTGGGCTCAGACCTCCCGGCTCGACTGGCGCGAGGGCATCGGTGAGTGCGGGCCGGCCCGGGCGGGAATGGCGGGGCCTGGGCGCAGGGCCCCGCGGCCACCGCACCTGCCGCCAGCCCCTGGCTCGGGCGCTCCGGTCGGGGCGGTGGTCTGCCGGGCGCGGGTCGAGGGCCGGCAGGGGCGTCCGGCCGGCATCTCGGTGCGGGGCGCGCGGGGTCCAGGCCGCGCTACAGGTTAGGTTGGACTCCCGCGTCCGGCAGCGGGCGGATCGCGGGTCCTTAGCCGGAGCGCGCGCCTGGGAGAGGAGAACACCCCAGGGGCGTTTCGGGAAAAGGCGCGATTCGCCCTGGCGGCTGCGGATCTCCAAGTTGAGACTCCTAGAACCGTGTCCCGGGGGTTCAGAAACAAAGACAAACAAACAAAAACCCAGCTAGTTTCCGGACGCTTTTGGCAGGAGTTACGTTTTCAGGGATCCTGGTAACCATGGTTGTTTTTAGGTTTTTGTCCTTGCCATGCGGGGTTCAGGACCAACCCCAGCCGGTTGGGGTGCCCGAGACAGTTGGGGCTTACACAGGGCGGTGGGGTGCTGGACCTCACCGTGGGCCGAGGTGGGCGCGGGGAAGCCCGGGTTCCCGCCCTCGGCCAGTGCGGGGAAGTTGCGGGCAGGACTGGCGGAGAAGCCTCGGCGGGAGCACCGAGCGCAGCTGTCGCCGCCTCTGCGAATTCCGACGTCGGGACCGACCTGGGCTGTGCGGTCCCTACAGTAGTCGCTGTTTCGTCCGTGGTCAGGTCAGGTCGGGGTCGGGAAGAGGATGGGGGGACACAATGGATGTGTATGGGGTGGGCCACGCCTCCAGGATCCAGCTAGGTGGTTTTGTTTTTTTTTTTAAATGTATAAAGTAGTTTCCTGGTGAGGTTTGCGTTTCCGGATAGTGGAGCTGATGTCATGCATGGGCTGCTGGACCGAGCTTCGAGGTTTTGGGAAATCCAGTTGCTAGAATTTAGCGCAAACGGGTCTTCCCGAAGGGGTCATATCCTTCCCCTCAGCTCCTCCCAGCTGGTTCTGGGAGCAGGGCTGCGGGTGGGGGCCCTTTCCAGGAAGGTCAAGATTGGTATTAGCCTGTGTTTAACTACGTCACCGGCCGGCCCTTCCCCCACCGCCTCCCTTCCCAGTTCTTTTAAAATAGGACCAGCCCAGATGCCTGTAGAGAGAGAGGTGCAACTGCTGCTGGAATTCCTCCAGTGCTTGGTTTTATCGCTGCATCAGGAACGGAGGGCGTGGACTAGTTACCTGGTGTAGAGCAACACCCGTATTGTGATTGGTCTCTGCAGTCCACCAGTCTCTGGGGTCTTAGAACGCCTGCTTGGGGCTCTGTAACACTGGCTCTGTTGTGGAAGAGACCCTGCTTCTCTTCCTCTTTGCTGCTAGGCTAAGGCACCTGTAACAGGTGGTTTCATTCACCTGTACACTGAAAAAGTATCCTTATTGCGATGATTTTGGGGATTAAGTAGCTCAGTGACCTAAAGCGTGGGATCGATTTCTTAAGTCTGTAAAATGCTAGGTTGAGGTTGTCCACTGTGTGCACAAATGCACTTCACTTTGTTCTTCCAGGCCGAAACAGCATGCAGGTCAAGTGCTGTATGCAGACTCAATGGCTCCTGGCCCGGAGGGGCCTATGCTGTGAGAACAGAGTGGAAGTACACAGCCGTGTAGGGAGGGCCCTGGCTTGGGAGGAGTGGGGAAGCTGAGGCTTGACTGTCCTGGGAATGGCACGTGGAGGGCTTCAGTCAACTGGAACGGTATTGGGGACAGAGGCGGTGCAGACCAGGAAGGAACAAGGGGAGTCTGCTGACACTTCCAGGCACTTCCAGTTTTCAGAAAGATAAACAGCTTGTGCTTTGCCTGGATGATCCCACTTTGAGAGCCGGCAAGTGCCCGCCCAGGGTTTAGAATTCTGTGAAGAGGAACCTCGACAGAATCATAGTGAGAGTGGGAAAAAGTCAGTGTCTAGGAGGAAGTGCTGGAGACCTGGCCCTGAACTCTTTCCAGTGTTTCTGCTCGTACTGTGGTGAGGACAGTCCAGGGAGTCAGGTGGCTGGAGCCCCTGAATTCAAGTGAAGATGTGTCCATGCACACTTTCTGATGACTCTGCAGCATGTCTGGCTGCCCTTGGCCTGTGCTGGACTCGGTTGCTGTTTCGGTCTGAGCACTGCATCCTGGTAACACTGGTAGGCCAGTGGAGTTGTCTGGGCTGCAGTTCTTGCCACAGAACTGTGTCTGGCTTCATCAGGTATGTAAGAGGCAGCTCCCTCTCCTCACCTGTCCGAAGGCCCATGGTTATGGAAGACAGGTTAGCAATAGACCAGACGGTTCTCGTACATAAGTGGCTCTCTAGTTTGTGTTTTAGACCCCTGAGCCAGCCTCCCTGCAGTGTAGACCGTGGGAGGCAGCAGGGCACGGAGCTCAAGCAGTTGCATTCCTGTCATATACCTGTGTTTTGGGGTCCTGCCTGGTGCTGTTCATTCCAGGTGTGTGGGAAGTGAACTAGCAGATGGGACACCTCTGTCTGCTTGTCAGGTTTAATAATAATAGCAATAATAATCATAAAGGCTCCAGGGGGCTTCAGGAATAAAGATCAGAAGCAGTTTTCTGAAGTGGGGACACGTGGCTGTGTAGAACTGCGATTGGTCCATGAATTGTTTTTTTTTTTTAAGGATTTATTTATTTTTATTGGAAAGGCAGATCAGATTTTACAGAGAGAAGGAGAGACAGATGTTTTATCCGCTGGTTCACTTCCCAAGTGGCCACAATGGCTGGAGCTGAGCCATTCCAAAGCCCGGAGCCAGGAGCTTCTTCTGGGTCTCCTATGCAGGTGCAGGGTCCCAAGGCTTTGGGCCGTTCTCTACTGCCTTCCCAGGCCACAAGCAGGGAGCTGGATGGGAAGCAGGGCCACCGGGATTGGAACTGGTGCCTATATGGGATTCTGGTGCTTGCAAGGTGAGCACTGGGCCATTGGCCTGGCCCCGTTTGGTCGATGGACTGAGGGGACACTAGGGTCATCAGGAAAAGAGCCAAGGAGGTGCCTGGGTGGTGCCAGTTCACTCTGCCACTGTGTGCTGTGGCTTGTGGGTCTGATCGACAGCCTGGGGTGTCAGAAGAATCATCATGGGGGGCAGTTGGACTTGACTGCATTCAACAGGTGTGTGAACTTGATCTTGAGCCCAGTGAGGTTTTTCATGGCTGGTGAACAGAATCCTTAAAATTTCCTATTACAAGGTAATGGTTTTCCAGACAGCATGAACAGTGTAAGCCACAGAGATATGGTGGCTGCCGCTGTCCACATCTGTCCTCGTGCCTGAGTTCTGTGATGCTGGCATCAGAGCCCTGGTGGGCTTTTGTACTCTGATGCAGTCTCTAACCATCACGTGGCACCCCTCAGTGTGGCTTTGCCCAGAATGCAGCTGTAGGGGAGCGGCCCGGCCCCGGGCGGAGGCGTCTGCACTGCCATGAATCTGTGATTTATGCTTGTGCCCTGCTTGAACTAGCTCTAAGATTGTGGGTGGGCACAGATGTCCTTGAAGAATGTCTTTTGACAGTTTGACTCTGAGCTTTTTTTTTTTTTTTTTTCAAACAAGCCCCTGCTGGATTTTAAATTCTCAAAGAGAACTGCAGGTCCTAGTCCTCCCCTTCCCGTTTCGGCACAACACTTGAGCCACCCGCTTCCCACTTGGGAGTTTCTGGGTTGGAGCCCCCAGTTCTGCTTCCGGTATACTTTGTTCCTGATGTTCCTGATGTTCCTGATGAGATGGCTAGCCGAAGGCCTCGGGTCCCTGATACACACACTTTCTCTTTCTCTCTCCTCTCTCTCCCTCCCTCCCAGCTCCTGGCTGTACCCTGGCTGTTGCAGGCATTTGGGCCCCTGAAGTCCTCAGTCTTTTGTTTGTTTGTTTGTTTGTTTCGAAAGTGACATTTACTTTGGCCATTTCTATAGGTGGGTTAAATTTCATTGCAACAAAAGTGCTGTGAAATCTTTGTGTGTAAAGAAGGCTTCCTGGTGGACCTTAGTTTAGGAATTTTAAGCAACCTTTCACCATTTCCTATAGTTGGGAGAGCGCCTTAGGTTGGCTGTTAGTGGGGGACCAGGCGAGGCCCTGCCCACATGCCTCTGGTTCCTGGCTGTTTACAAACCGGGCTATTGTCTCAGGGACCTGGCCATTTGCATGTGAGAGCCCTTCTTGATCCGGAGGAATCCCTTTCCCCCTGGGTGTTGGTGCTGCCCTGGTTATTCATCCCAGCCCACTGTGCTGCTTGGCCTGGGATTGAATTTCTCTCCTTTGTGGATGAAGTTGGTGGTTCCAAAGCCTGCTTTATCTTTTCTGCAGGCCTGACTCTGGCTGCAGTGCCCAGCCCAAACCTGGAGAGTGAAAGCAGAGCCATCCCCAGGGGCGGGAACGTATTCCTGCAGCACTTCACCACCCACGCATGGTCATTCGGTGGGAGTCTGGAAATCACGTCTTCCAAGAGGGGCTGGCCCGGAAGTACCTGCTGCTGCACATTTGCCGGTCCCTCAGAACCTGTCACTGAGCCCCAATTCTGGGCTTTTCTCTTGCTCTGTCCTGGTTCATCTCTTCAATGTTAGAAAACTTACTTGTCTTCCCCGTCTGTTCCCGTTATTTAATCTCTAGTGTTTAATCTGAAAAATTCGCTTTTGGAAAGTTTGGATTTTTAAAGTTTGGAGGGGGTGGAGGGAGCTCCGAGGCCAGAAATGCTGTTTATGGTTCAGTCGGTAGCTTCTCACGCTTACACTTGATGTGTTTGATTCAAGATGAACTGGTCACTCCAGGGCAGTTTTCCACGTGTGGGTTGGTGGGAGGTGCCCCAACACCCTTGCTCAGTTTCCCCTGACGTCAAGCTAAGAAACAAGTGAGTGTGTTGCGTCTGCCAAAGCACTGATTCTCGCCTGGACCGCTTCCCATCTCTGGACGCGGAGCTGCCTTCTTCCCTGGGGCTTGGGTGGGAGGGAGCTGGTGTGCAGGACAC